GGCTACTTGTACCACTTAGATTGCAATAGTGCAATATGTTTGGTTGCACCCACATCTCCTGCCCTCCCCCGCGTCGTTGTATATATGTAAGTTTAGAAGACGAGGTTTTGTTTCTATTTTTTCTACCCGCAGCACCAAGAGGTTGGGGTGGGGAAGCGGGGGCGGGGGGAGTGGCGGTGCGGGGCTCCAGTGGTGGTGGGGAGCACGGCCGACTCGGCTCGGCGCAACAACGCGTGGCGTGGCGGACGCGGCGTGGCGGACGCGCGCGAGCGACGAGACACCAGCTTCACCATCCCGCCTAGCGCAATATATGAGCTTCTTCCTATTGGTTCCCTTTAATATTTCCTATTCGAGAGTTAAAGCAATGACACCTTACATTACTAATGTATACTTATGTCTAGTCATGTTTAGTGTAAGGTTGTAAGGTATCATCTGCTAAAAAAGTTCCGACCAGAAACGGATCGTGAAAGCGAGGGGGAAATCACTTGCGAAATAGTTCGTACACCTTCCCCCGAAATAGTCCGAAATAAAGGCGAAATAGAGGCGAAATAGAGCGAAATAGAGCGAAATAAAGACGAAATAGACGCGAAATAGTCGGTGAAATAGTCGCGAAATACCCCTGAAATACTCCGAAATAGCGCGAAATAGCCTGAAATAATCCGAAATAGGCGGGAAATAGCCGAAATGGCAGGAGAAATAACCGAAATGGTAGGAGAAATACTACGAAATAGTCCGTACGCTACGAACCCTAGTGATTTCCCCCTCGCGTGAAAGCAGATGATACCAAGTCAAAAGTTCTATTCCAGTCTATAATATTTCTGTGGGAGTTCGCGGGACGCCGACCAGCCCGAGCTCAGAGACCGGCGATTGCGAATCCGGCTACTTGTACCACTTAGATTGCAATAGTGCAATATGTTTAGTTGCACCCACATCTCCTGCCCCTGCCCTCCCCCGCGTCGTTGTATATGAAAGTTTAGAAAACGAGGTATTGTTTCTATTTTTTCTGCCCCGCGCCAAGAGGTTGGGGTGGGGAAACGGGGGCGGGGAGGAGGGGCGGTGCGCGGCTCCAGTGGTGGTGGGGAGCACGGCCGACTCGGCTCGGGCGTGGCTCGGCTCGGGCGGCTCAGGGCTCCGCTAGGCTCGGCTAGGCTCGGCTCGGCGCAACAACGCGTGGCGTGGCGGACGCGGCGTAGCCTCGTACGTCTTTATGTGCAACGTGGTCATTTTCGCCGTATTTCGTCGAAAAAAGCACTGTAGCGCCCAAATGGTGCAAGATAGAGTCAAACAGACGAAATTTTCGGTCAGAGACTCTTCTTTCACGAGTTATCCCTTAGGAGGGGTAATATTTTTCTCCTACTTTTCGGACCAACCACTATTTCTTTGTTACCCCCTTTCACCCCCTAAGGGATGGTAGCCAGGATTTGCACCAGGCGCTTCGTTGTCCAGGAGTGACCGCTAAGATACCCTGAAATTTGGAGACCTCTAGCTCATCTTCTTCCTCGTACACGACGGACAGACCGACCGACGGACACGAGAGCGGTTGCATAAGCCTGCTTTAATGCTTTTTTAAAAGCAGAAGGGTGGGCTATAAACTGCCAACTGGGCAGTATCCACCACGTCCGCGCTCTCATCCAAAGCCAGCGAGAAAAATACAAAGTTTGAACACTTGTGTCGGAGTTGTCCTTCGAGGTCAGCCGAAATATCCTTGGCCCGTTTACTGATCGTGTTGGGCGACAAACTGGTGGCCTGAAATTTTGCGACCATCTCAGGGCACATAATTTCCGCCGCCTTCCGAAGACACTCCGTCACGAGCAGGCCTTTCGCAGGAGGATGCCACTAAGAACAAAGCTGGCGCTCTGTGCTGCGTCAGACACCTAAAATAACACAAAGAAGATGTGATAGTGAACGACACTGCAGCAGGCAGAGACCCTCAAGTCGCGCGCGTGCATGTGTATCACAGTTATCACTTGGCCCATTCCCCCCC